GTAACTTTGTGCAAGCCAAAATAAAAAGAAAGACCAGCAGATAAGTTAATTGATGAAAGTTTGTGACTTCTGCAAACCCTACACCTACATCTTTAATTAGTAACTGCAGTGCAAAAGCTATCTGGTATTGCAGACCAATTCTACAGTGGGGAATTAGATGCGCAGCAAAGGTTAGCAATGTACTTAATTTTACAGGCTAGTTATTTTAGTCACCATAGTCTTTCTTTTACTTTAACTTGGACATGCTAAATATATTCCCTGCATCTCTCCTTAGTTCTTTTATTCACCCTTGTCTGTTTTCTAAAAAAAGTGATATAAAACTTTGGAATATCTCAAGGGCTTAAAGCTCTCAGACGCTGAATGACCAAAGATAACTTACACTTGGGACATGAAAACAAAACTGCACAAACAACGACGTTGCTGATATCTTCCACCACGTGCATCTGTACAACATGCCACAGCTGATGGGGAGACACAGGATGTGGACTGGGAATCTTTACTAATAAAAGGAGCAATTTCAAAATCAGATCTGCAAAACAACTTTCACCAATGTTTTTTCATTCTGTTCCCAATCCTTCCCCTATAATACTTGATGGTTACTAAAAGACAAACTGATTTTGGGTACAATAAAGCCAAACGTTCTCTTCACTTGAGCTTTGGTTGAAGAAAAATGAAAAACTTTAAAATGGTGATTCTCAGGTTTGTTCTTTGGTCAAGCAGTATAAAGCTTTCTGAAAGAAGTTCCCTTACCTGGTTACAGTATGAAAAAAGTCAAAATAGGGGATATTCCAGTTTAGGAAATAGATCAGATTCCTATTAGAATTTCTCAGAAATATAATAGATCTGATTTCCTATTAGAATTTCTCAGAAAAAAGAAAATTCTATACAATGGAAGCACAGGGAAAATCTAGCTCCATAAGCCAGGTTAAAATTGTTTGAGGACATCAAGGATAAAAGAACTAGAATTCAAAAGACTAATTTTAAGTGGGTCAGCTTCTAAAAGGGTTAAATTAATAACTTTAATCCTGAAATAGAAACATGATAAATGATTTCTGAGCAAGGATTGACCAACATTTTCCTCTATCAGTTTAAATCCTAATCTGGTCCCAGGCCCAGTCAGAGGCTGTCATGATTTTGAAAAGTAGAAAGGAGGCAGAAACCCAACCACAACCATCCTGCAGGTACCAACTCTTGCCACACCACCTGCCAGCAGAGCCCTCACCACAGAGCAGCCTCATTCACAACATGGTGATCAGTGAGGAGGAGTCCATCACCTTCATCAGACAGGCCTGACTAGGCAGGGATTGCGCCTCCAAAATGATGTGTTTTCAGTAAGAGGTGGGAGATGTCAGGGTTAGAGTTTGAAAGCACGAAAAAGCACTTAGAATTTGGACACACCCTCAGACTGTGACCATATGAAGAAATATTAGATAGAGAAGGAAAAATATCATCTGGAAACCAGAACAAAAAATGGAATAAGATCAAGGTCTTGGGAGCCCCCCACCAGTCACATAGTTGGCACTATCATCGTTTACTGTTTTTCTTAAAAGGCTAAACTTATGAATAAAGTTATGACTTTGGTTGATTACTTGACCAGTTAAATAAGGATATCAAGGTGGGCAGCCTCAAAGACCTGGAGGGGAAAATGTGGAAGGCACTTGCTCCCAGGGGGAGGAGGGCCGGGGGAGTCTCTTGGCTGGAGAGCCAGGGCCAGCAGCAAGCCTTGCTGGACCCAAGCCTGCAAAGTGCTAGAGAGGGCAAAGCCTGGGTGGTTAGCCAGACAGGCAAGAGCCAGCATGACTTCACAAGTAGAAGAGCTATAAAATAAAACATGTTTTTAATGGACAAAGTGAATCACTTTTTTTTTTAAGGTGGTTTTTAGCAAAGAAAGGATGTGAAGCAGTTTTTTGTTTTTACTATTTACAAAATGCCACTTAAGAGCAGAGGTGGCCACCTTCAGTAGTTGAGGAAATGTCTTTCACGTGAGATGGCCACAGAAGTGTGGTTCCTGGAACTGGCTCAGAAAGGCCACACTGTCCTTGGTGAGAGAGTTCTTCTAGGGAGCACCACAAAGGCTCAGTCTTCTGTCTCCTCATATGTGGTCTCATCAAAGGGCCTGTCCAGTAGAGGCACCAGCCGGTGGCGGGAATACTTCAGCTGCAGCAGGTCCCCAACTTCATCTATCTCCTTTAAAGCCTAAGACACAGCAGATGAGGCAGACATCAGTCAGGGACAGCAGTACACAGGCACGCTTGATGGTTCACTGGGCCCAAAACAATGATGGTAAGGTTGGTGTGTCCAGTACATTCACTCAAACCAGACCACACACAGCTATGGGAAGAGCTGCTTTTGAACAAGGCCTCAGGCTGACCAGAAATATGACTTGTGAATAGCTGGTATGCAAGATAAAGGTTATATGTGTATCTGTGACACTGTGTAAACCTGCTTAATCTTGTTGCTACAATTTTGTATGACAATGTATACCTTATATTTCAGAGCTGATTATTAGTAAGAAGACACATTCATCTGTTCTCAAACTTAATTTTTAAAAATCAGTATTTTGAGAGAGAAAAAGGACATCAATAGCATTCCTTATGTATCTCAGCAGAAGAAAAAAATGTGAAAAATATAAAAAGCAAATAAGAGCTGGGCTTCAATATGTTATCAGGACAGTGGTACCTCTGAGAAGAGATTTAATTGAAACTCACAGAGAAGCAATTTAAACTTAAATTTCAGTTGGGAGAAACCATTAACCACTGAACCCTTGACCTCTGACATAGGATTAATTAATTAATTAATTAACAAAATATTAATTAACAAAAATTCGTAGGATTTACTAATAACACAAAGGAAAAGGGTATTTATAAACTCTGACTTCAGAAGAATCTTTCTTCCTTAATGTAAAAAAGAAAAAGATCAGGAACAGAAACCATCCAAACAAACCCACAGTAGTCCAAGTAGATCTAGATTATAAGATTCCTTCTGAGACAAGGTCTCTCAGTATGTTGCCCCAGCTAGGCCCAAGCAATCCTCTTACCTCAGCCTCCCAAGTCATTATAATTACAGGCATGGACCACTACACCCAGTAGAATAAATTCTTTTTTGGGGGGGGAGGGGGGTTTACTGGAGATTAAACCCATGGGCCCTCAACCACTGAGCCACATCCCAGTCCAATTCTTTTTTTTTTTTTTTTAAATATTCTAATTAGAGACAAGGTCTCCCTGAATTATTTAGAGCATTGCTAAGATGTTGAGACTGGCTTTGAACTTGCTATCTCCTTGCCTCAGCCTCCTGAGGTGCTGGGATTACAGGTGTGAGCCACCGTACCTGGCAGAATAAACGCTTAATTGTAGAAATTCTGCTGTGTAGAAATAGGATGTAACAAGTCTTCTGCTGTTTAGAAATACAAAATGTCAATCAAATTATTATAATAAACTTCTAAAAGTATAAAAACTCTTGCCGGGCATGATGGCGCATGCCTCTGGAGGCTGAGGCAGGAGGATTGAGTTCAGAGCCAGCCTCAGCAAGAGCGAGGCACTAAGCAACTCAATGAGACACTATCTCTATATAAAATACAAAATATGGCTGGGAATGAGGCTCAGTAGTTGAGTGCCTCTGAGTTCAATCCTGGTAATGCCCACGCCCTTACAAAAAAAATATAAAAACTCTTTGGGATTATTATCAGATCTCAAGCCAATTAATAAATATTTCTTTTTTTTAACTTTTATTTTTTAGTGGTGGATGGACACAATACCTTTATTTTTTTATTTTCACGTGGTGCTGAGGATCAAACCCAGTGCCTCACGCATGCTAGGCAAGTGCTCTACCTCTGAGCCACAACCCCAGCCCCGAATTAATATTTCCAGCAATTTTATATATATATATATATATATATATTGCAGATGTCACATTCTAAAGTTTTATGAACTTCCACAAAGCATACCTTTTCAGCGGCAGGGGGGTGGAGGGTGGGGAGTGGGGATAGAAGCCAGGGCTTGTGCATGTTAACATGTGCTCTACCACTAAGCTATACCCTCAGTTCAGAAAACAAAACTTTACAATTTAAGGACCGAGGGCTGGGGTTGTAACTCAATGATAGAGCGCTTGCCTAGCACATGAGGTCCTGGATTCAATCCTCAGCATCACATAAAAATAAATAAATAAGGCCTGAGGATATAGCTCAGTAGAGTGCTTGCCTTGCATGCACAAAGGCCTGGGTTCAACTCCCAGCACCACATACATGCATACATACATACATATATACATAAATAAATAAATGAAGTTTAAAAAACTTGAAGACTGAAATCTTAGATATGAAACAATAGCATATCAAGAGGCAATATCAAGAGATGAGAATAAACTGAAATCATAAATAATTAAATTCAGTAATAGTTATGAGCCCCAACTATACTTGGCACTGTGACAGGTGCTGAACATATAGAATGAGACTTAGCTCCTAACTTTCAGATTTATGTATGGGAAGGCTGGAATCTAGCTCAGTGGTAGAGGATTTGCCTAGCCCATCTTGCATGAGGCCCTGGGTTTGATCCCCAGCAACACAAAAATAAAAGTCTTATTTATCAAGAGGAAAAGACCTGAGCAAGTTTCCTTTAAGTGGAAATATACAGAATGAGCTGCACTCAGCCAATCAAGGAGGAGAAAAAGCTTAAGATAGAAAATTCTACATACATGACAACAACCAGGAAAGCTTGGAACAGAGACAGGATGGAAACGGAACTGCACAACTGTGGAGTCCATAGAGACAGAATGGTATGATGAATCTGGAAAATTCTCCAGAATTTGGTTGACACTGGGTCTGGTGTGATGCTACACACTTGGTAGTTCTTTTGTAAATGGCAGTTTTAAGTAGCATTGGGCACCACTGCTGTCTTAGGTACTCAGAGAACATTCAGATCAACAAATAATTGGTTTCATGTATGTGATACATGGGTTCTTTTAGTATAAGGCATGTTTATACCAAGATGAAAGTGTCCACTTACCGTATCAAGTATTTCTTTGGTATGAGCTGCTGACAGGCAAAACCTGGCTCTGGACTCAATAATTGGGGTAGCAGGAAATCCTACCACAACTACACCAATGTTTCGCTTTAGCATCTCTCGTCCAAAGGCGCTACAAAGGGGAAAATGAGGAAAAGAAATGAAGACCAGTATAAAGCAAGGGTCTTTCTGTCTGGAATGATTTAAACTCTAGTGACATAGACATCACTTCCTCTAACTTCTTCTAAAGTTAAAACTGACAATTCACAACTCGTTTATTCAATCCTAAGGTGGTGGTCTTCTGTATGATTTCCTTCACAAGGTAAAAGAATATAATTGGCAGAGACCAGTTGTAATAGGGTTTGCCTAAAGAGATTTATAATTACAGTCTTAAAAAAAAGTATCCTTGTTATTAACAGTGGTTCAAGGGCTTCAAAATAAACTTGCATTAAAACTCTGGTCCTTAAAATGTTAATCTTGGGGGGTGCTCGGGGAGACTGGAGGAACTCTGATTGGGCAAATGGGAGGGAGGGAAGGGGAGGGGGCATGGGGGTATGAAAGATGGTGGAATGAGATGAACATCATTACCCTAGGTACATGTATGACTGCGCATGTGATGCAACTCTACACTGTGCACAACCAGAGAAATGGAAAGTAGCATTCTGCTACTATGTATAACTAATTAGAACAAATAAAAAAATGTTAAGCTTGGCAGTTTCAATAGTCTTAAGGTTATGGAGATAGAGAGAACTGGCTATAACATGACACAGATCTGCTGGCAGAGTGACCAGTCGGCAAGCGGCCTCTAGTTTCTGTCAGGTAGCTGGCCAGTGGCTTTGGCTAATTGCTCGTACTACCTCTCACTCCAAGTCAGCTGTCCTATGGCCTTACTCTACTTCTGAATCTTGATTAAATAACATATCCTAATTTTCACTTAATTTTGCTTATTAAATTATGCTGTTCTATTTTTCCCTCATTGACCTACCTTATTTCTTTTACTTTTCCATTAATTTCTTCACAATATTTGAGAAAAATATCCTGCACATCTGGCAATACATCAGTGCCAGTCTTTTCCTACTCTCTAACACCTGCACAGCTTTCTCCATGCTCCCAGGTCAGATGAGCCCGAGCTCCCTGTATCTGTTGATCATGCTCCCTAACTGTCCAGCACATCACCCCAGTTCTCCTCCACCCTCTTCAGTTTCACCTGTATAGACAGATGAGGCACAGTCCTCTCTAAACAAAGCGTTCTAGATTGAGTCCTTCAGATCTGATAGCTCAAGTATACCTGTGATAATTCCACTGGGAGAAGATTCCCCAACACTCTCTTAGTAGGACATAATGCTAACTCCCTCTAATTCTGTATTGAAATCTGCACTCTTTTTTTCCCCCTTAGTAATTAAGCATCTCTTCCCAACTTCTCTCTCATAGTCTTTGGGATCTTCATTCTTCTAGGCTCCCCAATTAATTTTTCTCTCTTATATTCACTTCAATAAACATTTACTGAGTGCCTTCTGAGTGTTGGAGTCTGAGGTGGATACTGGGAATTCAAAGATAAATATAAATATTTGCTCCTTTAATGAATTTAAACAAATGGGAGAAATGATCCTTATTCTAATTTTATACTAAAAATCTGGATCAAAACTCACCCATTGAAAAAGATATACCTTCAGGGCTTGGGAGGCTGAGGTAGGAGGATTACTTGAGACCAGGAGTTCAAGACCAACCTGGACAACACAGCAAAACCCTGCCTCAAAAAACAACCCCACTCTCCGACCCGGGGTTGTGGCTCAGTGGTAGAGTGCTTGCCTAGCATGCATGAGGCCCTGGGTTTGATTTCCGGCATCACATAAAAATAAATAAAATAAAAGCTATTATGTCCATCTACAACTAAAAAAGAAAAAATAATTAAAACAAACAAAAAACAATTCCCCCATCAAAAAGAAAAACACATCAAAACAAGGTGCCTTTTTTATGGAATCCATACTAAGCAGATCACTCCTTTATTCTACAGCTCCAGTATAATTTTGCATACAATTGTTCGATATAATTATTCAATGTAATTATTGTTCATTTGCTTTTCAAATGTCTTCTAGTTTCATTATACATCTGGACTTCTCAAATACAAAGAAAGCTGTCCCAGGTTGAGGGCTTCCATTATGTACATCTCACACAAACCAAAGCAGCTGGGGTAACCAGTACACCTGGTAAATATCCAATAACATGCTCCGCTCGACCTTTCTGACCTCATGGCCCACTGCTCCCCCTTGGGCACTGTCCTCCAGCTCCAGTGACCACTTGGCTATTCTTCAACCGACTAAGCATGCCCCTGAATGTGGCCTCTGTACAGACTGTTCCTCTTTGCTCAGATTTCATCTTCCCTTCCCACGGAGGCTTTACCTGTCCCCTATTTAATGCTATTTCTGCACACCTACAGGTCCTCTCAATCCCCATATGTAGCCTGCATTATTCTTTTTTCGATACACGCAATACCTTTGAGCACACATAGTGTAATATCTTCTAATTACTACATTTGTCTGATTGTTGCCCCACTAGAACGTAAGCTCCACAAGGACAGAGATGTTTTGTGTTTTGTTCACACATCCATCCTAAGCACCTGGAAGACAGCGTTAAACTTGGATATTTGTTTAATGAAATGATAATAAGTTTACACATCTTGCAATTTAGATCCACTATGTCAACTATGGCCTAACTAACAAATGGACACAGTGTAGAAAAGATAATTTTTCTAACTATAAGCCTAGTCTTTTATCACAGGTACCTTAAGTCTAATGAAGGACCACTGAGTGACCTGCAATAAAACATACCCAATTTTGGCTGGCATGTAGAGCATCAAAGGCACCACTGGAGAATCTTCATTTCCATAGATGATGAAGCCCATCTCCTTCAGTCGTCTCCTGAAATACCTAGTGTTCTCGGCTAACTGCTGCACACATTCTTTGCCTGGAAAATTGTGGGAGAGAAAACAAAATGATGCTAAGAAAAAGGAGTAGGAAAAAAAGACAGCAGTCTCTTCCTATCGCCATTCTATCTAAATAGGCCTATGCTTGTTTCTTCCATTTCAACATCATTTTTTTGCATGATAAACTATGTGAAATGTAATAAATATGCCTCACTTTGTAATCTATCATTCTTGCTATTGATAGTAGTTTTTACATAACATGGAAAAATCAAGTTTAATGTCAAAAGTTTCCATGACATATTAGCATCCCCAAATAATTTCTGCAATTCAGCACTCCACGTATCTTTGACAGTAAGTAGGAAATTTATTATCTTCATTTTAGAAGTTACAAGAGTCTCAGGTAACTTGCCCACATCACCCAGTAGCAGTAAAAGGCACAGCTGACACTAGAATCTAGAACTTCCAATTTCAATACTCACTCCAACTAATTACGTTTAAATCATTTTACACATAAGTCCACAGGTAAAGTCACTTAGACCTCAAATTTTTCTCTTAACCATTTCATTTCACATTGTTTAAAAACTCTAATAAGACAGCAACAGTCTATATGTCATAAAGTAAAATCATATTTTAAATCTGATTTTACTCATCTTCCTAAAATACAAATAGATCAAAACACATTTCTTTAATAATTATTTAATTTAACTGACTAAATATCTGGCCAAGTATTGACACTATGGTTGGCCCATCTATGAACAGATGTTCAAATAATTGTCCTGTTTTTAATAAATCAAAAAAATTAGTTTGCAAAGGGTTAAAAAATGTTTAATGGTCTTTTCAACCATAAATAATTGTGAATAAAAAAAGTTTGCAGTAATTTTCTCACATATATCGAAGCATAATCAAGCAATCAAATGTACAGATGGTTAAAAAAAAAGTGTCCTTAGAAGTAGGATACTGATGGGGCTGGTGTTGTAGCTCAGTGGTAGAGCGCTTGCCTCGAATGCATGAGGCACTGGGTTCAATTCTCAGCACCACATTTAAACAAATAAATAAAGGTCCATTAATAACTAATAAAATATTTTAAAAAAAGAAGTAGGATACTGATGGAGCTGGGGATGTGGCACAGTGGTGGAGCATTTGCACAGCATGTATAAGGCCATGGGCTCAATCCCCATCACCAAAAAGAGAGAGAGAATATTAACATATTCATCATTCATGCAAAGCTATGCTAGATAAGTTGGCCAAAAATAACCCCGAATTAATATTCCTTATGTACAAGTTCATCAGAGAAAAACAGTCAACCTTTGATTAGACTAGTTAACATGAACACCAAGGAACAACACTAAAGTTGTTAGATTTAAGTAAGTTGACAACTGATGATCCAAGTACCCTATTTTCTCTGAGTCACTATCAATACATGCTTTACTCTACTTTCATAGGAGACTCCCACTTCCTGTCATTACAGCATCCTAGGGATCAAATTCACCTATTGTAAATAGCAGAAGATTGGACAAAAAATACAGCACAGTGGTTTTTAGACACTCAACACAGGGAGTGCAGGACTATGCTGCCCGGGAGAAGGGAAACCAAGCTAAACCTTCAGGTTGCTCTGTGCTTCCTGGAGGCAGGTACTAGATTGATGCACAGAGAAGGGGAACCCAGTTTTGTCAGTTGAGGACAGTTGGGTTTGGAGTGGAGAGTTGTCAGTTGTGATTAGAATTGGGGAGGCCAAGGTGGCTAGACTATTTTTGGTGTACAGGAGGAGGAATGTGCAGAGTGCACATGGGGATCTACAGGGGGCAGACTCCTTGAGTCCTGGAATGGGTATTGATTGATAGGCATACACAAGAAGAAAACTATCAGGGCTGGCATTATAGCTCAGTGGTAGAGCACTTGCCTAGCACATGAGAGGCATTGGGTTCAACCCGCAGCATCACATAAAAATAAATAAACAAAGGTATTGTGTCCATCTACAACTAAACAAAATATTAAAGAGAGAGAGAGAGAGAAACTATCAGATGATGGGGAAAGAAAGGGCCACCAGAAAACAGCACTCACACAGAGCTTTTTAATTTTTTTTTATTTATACCCTTCAAAATGGGAGAATCTTACAACACATATAACAGGGTCCTCAGAAGAGCATTACCTTAGAAATGGAACTAAATTAGCCCTGGACTAAAAATTGATCTTGACCCATTCTAACAATACTTAAAAGCAAGTCTTAAAAGGATCCAAGAAAAAAAGTCCAAAATTACCTAAAGGAATATAATAAAATACAGCACCAACAGTATAAAATTTACTATGTCCAACACATAAAAGAAAATTGCAGGGGCTGAGATTGTGGCTCAGTGGTAGAACTCTCTCCTAGCACGTTTGAGGCTCTGGGTTCGATTCTCAGCACCACATAAAAATAAATTAATAAAAAATAGGTACTGTGTCCAATAACAACAACAAAATAATATTGCAGGCATTCAAAGAAACAGGAAATGTGACCTTATGTCAACAGAAAAGATCAGAAATGACAGTATTAGCAGGATGTTAAAATGTTATTTT